CGGCCCTGGTCCCGAGGCACATGGCGGGCGAGTCCTCTTCCTCCTCGTCCCGCTCCTCCGGTTCGTCGGCGCTCGCCAACGTCAAGGCCGAGCCTGTGAAGACGCCGCTCGGGCGGCGCACCCGCGGCGGCGCCCTCGTCATCAACGAGGGCGGCCGTGGCCCTCTGCTCCCTCCCCCGCCTCGTCAAGTCGAAGACGGAGCCGGGGCTCATCATCGTGAAGAAGGAGCACGAGGACATGGCCGCCGACGACGAGACCTCCCTCAAGTGGGCGCGAGAGGACTACGTCCGGCTGGAGATGGAGCGCCAGCGCCGCGCCCTTGAGGAGACGGCCACGGCGAGGGCGGCGTCATAGTCCTCGAGGACAACGACGACGAGGCACCGCCACCAACCAAACCTGTCCCCCAAGACGACCCAGCGGCAGGGGTGTAGCAAGGACAACGACGGCGTGAAGGAGGAGGAGGAGGGTGGTGACGGCGACTACAGCGCCTTCGGCAAGCTCTTCGACGTGTAGGCGGCGCGGCGGGTGACGACGGCGTAGTAGTAGTAGTCGTTTTTATTTTGTTTTTAAATTATGTTTTTAATATGTAAAAAACAATGGAACGCCTAAATTTCGCCTAATTCTGTGTCGTATTTGGCCGAGTATGATTTAAAAAAAGACGTCTGGGGCGACCTGGGGCGGCGGCTGGAAAACCTATCGCCTCCATGTCGAATTTATCGCCGGTTTATCCCGAGACAGGGGCGGAGCCAGAATTTTTTGTCATTGGGTTCACTCATAAACTCATTATAAAGATTTGGTATGCTATATTTAAGTGTAAAGTCTAATTTTACACAATTTAAGCAAGAGTATAGCACTAAAAATAACATACACATGCTATTACTTATCACAAATTGGGTTACATTGAAAGCTGAAGTGCAAGGCATACCTGTTGGATGAAATTATAAATTGAGTTCCTTACATATTAAAAATAGAGTAATACCAAAAATACTTTGCAGCCCTGGTTGTAGCTTCTCATCTTCCTAAAAACATTAAAAAATGATAAGTTAGTTTGAGAAGTTTAAAAATAAGTATCATCATGCGAAAGAAGTTGTAAAGTCACTTAAATTTTAGAGTGTCCGCTTTCGATTTTCATCTACTTAAAAGGATCAAACACCAGATCATTACTAGTGGCAGAAAACATATCTTTCTCCGCATAGCAAATTAAACAATCACTGATGAGCCAATCATCAATTTTATTGTGCAATTTTTTTCTTCACAACATTCGTAGCTGAAAAGCATCCATCCACAGATGTTGTGACAACAAACAGTATTATTACTAGCTTTAGAAGTTGATAGCCCAGAGGAAAAGTAATATCTTATTTGTCCGCATCATTAGTTTGGACTAAATCTAAGTTTAGTATCTCCAATTTCTCTTTGTGGATAATCCAAATTAAGCGGTAACATTTGAAGCCCCTTATATAGTTATAAATATATCTCATCTAGTTCCTTAGAATTTCTCGTGTACTCAATTTTTTTTCCTATAAATCAGATCATAAGGCAACTTGTCTTAATTAATTCCTCTTTGTATAGAATGCCTCACAAGACTACTTGGAGTCGTATTTGGTGCACTTTGCCTACCTCTAATGGATGACCTCAATCTAGTGATCAGTTTATATCTGAAAAATACTATCTTATGGCCTAGATCAATCAAAATACAGGGAATAGCAATTAGAAAACTACACCATGTTTAACGGAGAGGAGATCTGATGATGCGACTCAGTACCTTGAATTTTTGGTTTATATTAGGCGGCAAGGTTGCCGCCCAGACCCACCCTTGTTGGCGGGGCTCATCGCCGTTGCCGCCCAGACCTACCCTTGTCGGTGGGGCTCGTCGCCGGCTGAGGAGATTGGGAGAGAGTCCACGATGCAAACGGCGAAAGGTCGTGGTGCTGGCGGCTGCCTGTGTACGCGTACATGTCTACAGGAAAATAGGAATACCTAGAAGGGTCACGAAGCCACGAACTTGCCTGGCAGGCTGTCACGGATGGAGTTCACTTTACGGGCTTTTGGGCTTCTTGCGTTGCATTGTAAGTTTAATGGGTTCAAGCCCTATTTTCTACTGGGTTCATGCAAGTACATATACGTATACATATACCCGGCCAGGAAAAGTTGGGACCGAACCCAACGCCATTACGCTGGCTCCGCCCCTGTCCCGAGACGCGCTATTTCAAACCCAGAGTTGAACGGCTGGAGATGCTCTAACACGTAGGCGACCTGAAGCTCGTCCAATCGATCCCACGGCCGCCGGCAGTCGCAGAGCAGATACGTACGTGTGGAACCTTCTGCACACGACAACGCAGTCAAGTAGTAGTACAAACGTGTACTGTGAACAAGGCAAAATAGACGCAGATTAATTGGCGAGCCGGTCACTGCCATGGCAAAAATTAGTTGCAACCTCTGACCCGTATCTGCGGCTGCACTCACCAACTTGCCCGTATTTTAACGCAACAATCTTACACGCCAGCAGCCGATTAAACAAATGATAGCCACTAACTCACGATGATTTTTTGGATCAAGGCTATGTAGCTCCCAAGCATAACCGGTCAAATTGCGTGCATGTAGCTTGGATACTTTTCTTTTTCGATCCTAGGTTATGGGGCTCTAATGCTTTGCAATCTATACTAAACATCCTGCAAAAAAAATCTATTTTTCAAACAAACATACAGTAATCCAGATACACCACGTCAAGAACTTGTCAGAGAGTTTTATGCGTAGCAGTCACTTGTTCGTCATTGAATACTGAGAAGTGTCACTTGCTGGATCACATCACACGGCTAGCGTGTAGGAGCAAATGGAAGGTAGTATCTGTGGTTTAATCCAAGAACGAATTGAAGTGTGGAAGTCATACCACTGCGCCACCGTGTGTTTGATTCCAGGAACGCAGCGTACAGAAGTGAAGCAGCTCTGTTGGCAGGTTTTGCGAATCCGTTGGCTTCCGAATTAGCGTCGACGAGTACGAAGTGCGTATCCTGACGCAGGTAGCACCCATATGTTGGGTGCATTCTCATTGGTTCTTTACGATGACCATCCATCCCAAAATGCACAGCTTGACGATCAAACTTTTGCCTCATTCCGTTGGGTCTTTGTGTGTGAGAGCGTTCTCTCCGTTGAGGGCATGTACAATGCATAGCCTTAAGGTGATGTCTCGCATGCCATGTAGGATCATATGACGTAAAGTAGGTTCGGATAGGAAAGCGGGATCCTTTCCAGGAGGTGGGTGCTTGAAAAGAAAAAATGTGGTCCGGTGACAAAAGTTAAAAAGGTTGGAGTGAAAGTAGAGATGCATGTGTACTAGAGTCTTTATTTTTTATTTTTTAATAAGACACACTAATGATAGCTTGCATTGAGGAGAAAAAATAAATATAAATGCCTCAAATTATTTTTTATCATGAGGCATATATATCCATATGCCGCCATTGTACATGCCCTGAGGGGGCTTCCACTATTTCTCCCGTGCCTAATGTTAACCTTCATTCTCATCGTTGCATCATTGTTTAGTTGTAGCAGTAAACCATCTGACGCCCGCAACGATCACATCATCACTCATTAAACATATGAACACAACGTCATATACATGTTGCTTCGCACGCGTGCAAAGATAGGGATATTTTGATCAACCCTACTCTAAATTCACTTTATAGCGCGCGTTGTTATCCTCTCATACCCTTGTTTAGTTTCGTGGTTGATCTTACCAAATTAATTTCTCCACTCCAGTAATAAAGGAACGGCGACCATAGAACAGTAAGAAAGAAAAGTAAAATTGTACGTACTCCTACAGGCCACATAAGCTATCTGTCACACTGGGAGCAGTCTGAGAGAATCAAAGATTCCGAACAACCGGGTTGCTTGTGTGTGAGAGAGAAAGAATCCAGGGGGCAACCGGCGCGGGCCCACGCCGAATCACGCAGATACTTTCAACTTCTCCTCCCCTCTCTCTCTAAAAAACAAATTATTTTATTCACGCACCGAGATTCTTTGCGTGCATGCGTATCTCGGCGACAATAATTACGGCCCTGATTCGTTGCCTAACCCCCCACTTGTCGCAGCGAATTCGGCGAGTGTTCTTCCGATTTGACGGGTTGTTTAGTTTAGAGTAGTCAAAAGAAAGCACTCGCTGCCGTAAAAGCCAAAATATTTGCTCGCTAGCGACGAGAGCAAGAGAGCGGAGATATGGAGCGCAAAATCCTGGGTCCATGCCTGGACAAGGACAGTAGCCAGTCGGCAGAAGCGATATGAACCATCAGTATGATATGGCCAATGATCCCCACTGATTAACCGCGCATTTGCGGCCAGTAGTTGAGACTCCGTGAAGAACCCATGCCATGGGAAGAATTCGTCGTCGAAAATGTTTTTCTGGGGGAAATTGAGTGAAAGGAAGGGAACTGAGAGGTGGTTGAGGTGGAGTGGAGGCAGGGAGTAATCTAATAAATCGGCTGGATAAAAGTAATTAATAAGCCGGAGCATTCACCATCCGTCCTCCACTGGCGTGGAAGAAAGTCTCCCATTTGCGTGCCAAATTAATCCTCCTCTTCTTCCTCCCCCGCAACAGCAACAGCAACGGCACCCTCCCTCCCTCCCACAGTCCCACTCCCATGTCCTCTGCCATCCCATCCCCATCCCACCACCATATAGCCGCCACTCCACCCCCACCCCCACCCCACCTCCTTCCGCGCGCGCCGCTCCCCAAGAACCGGGACGGAGAGCTAGCCCTCCGCGACTCCCTCGCCGCGCGCACGCTTCCTGCATGCCGCTGTGACCGTGAGTCGTCGTCGTACTGATCTACCCCGCCATGTCGTCGTGCTGAGTGGTGGGTGGGCGTTCGGGGTCTGGCCGTGCGCGCGCGGGTTGGCGGCAGTACATGAGGAGGAGGGCCGGGAGGAGGGAGCCTGGGGAAGGGGGCGCTGGGGCTGCTGGGCTGCGTCGATGAGGTGGTGGCGGCGGTGGCGTCGTCGTGGGGTGCGATGAGCGCCGCGGGGTCCCGGGTCGAGGCGGCGCCGCGGCTCGCGCAATGGCGCGTCGACGCCCTCCCCTGCTACACCTACCGCAAGTCCGACTCCTTCCGCGTCGGCCTCTGGAACTGGTCCGTGCCCCCCGTGCCCGCCCAGCCCCTCCCCTCCCCTCCCCTCCCACCCCATCCGCCCCTCTGCAAAATTGTTGCTCGCTACCTGTTTGGTTTCTTGATTGACATACTTGTCCAGCAAAGCAGAGTGTATCCTGCTATGCGATCCTTGTTGCGGCCGAGGTTCTTAGTGTTGGTTTATGAGTTCAGTCATGGGTTTTCTTGTGATCAGTCTCAGCTTTTCAGTTGTGGTTTGATTCTGTCTACCAGTGCAAAGGGGATCAATAGGCTGTTTCTGTTAAAAATCTTGTTGGTTTGATTCTGAGAAATGGTCCAGAATTTGGTAGTAGCAGTGAAGGTTTTCTTTCTTCTCTAAAGTACTCCGTATTATTGAACTGAATTTAAGTTGGATTTGGAATCTTTGGTCAGCGATAATATCTAGTCGACATGTTTTCTTAACCATATTTGTTGTATTATCAAGAGAGACGTGGAACAAAGGAGATTTTCTAGACAAAAGTTTTCACTTTCTCCAACACTCGCTTTCAGCTCTTTCTTTTCTACTATTGCCAAGAAAAATCTTGAATTGAATTGTACGTTTACTTCTTCAAATCTCATCAGGATAAAATTTTCGGTTTAAACATAAGTTCTAAAATCATAAAGGATGGGGTACAAGATAGTTATGAGGGTCCACCACATGATTCATCATAAACTAACTTAAGTATCTGATTCTGCAATTGTGAAGGTACCTGTCTGTGGAGAGAAACAACAAGCAAACTTGCGTTAAGCTCTTTGCAGAGTTGTCAAATTCTGCCAAGAACACAGCCCCCGCACCGATAGCCTCGTTTGTCACGAAACTTCTGATATCCTTTCCTCCAGATCAGAAGATCATAGAGCATCCAGGTAATTGTCTTTTACTCCTTACTATGTACTGTATGAAAGATATTGATATATTTTCACATTTAATATGTAAGTGGTAATTTTTCAATATCTAGTATGTAAGTGATGAGTTATCAGTTCATACGGGTACGAGTTAATTTGTGTAGAGATCAAGTGTCATGCAAAAGCAGTATACAGATTTAAGTTACTGTACATTACATGATCGGGGCATACATGCCGGTCTGAAATTCTAGGCTTTATTGTTATTCCAAAATACCATGTTGAGTCCTCCATGCATATCAGCAAGTGCACAAAGCATGGGTTATCTAACCATCAGCTAATTTGCATGAACACAGGTATCCTGGACAAGCCTCTGAAACACGAAGGGTTTGTGTGGACGATTGATAGTAGTTTTACAGGAAGATTTGTGATTGAGATAGAGTTTCTGGACCTCAAAGTTGCAGATTCATCTGTAAGCACTGTTTCACCATCTACCTTTGTTTTTGTCAATGTTTGGTACAACAACAATTAGGAGGTGTGGGCTGTCAAAACGAAAAGAAAACAATTAGCCAATTAGGACATGTGGAGTGACATTCTTGACTCACCTAGAAGCCAATCTGATTTTAGACAGCTGCACACTATATTAACATGACATTTGGACTGATGCACACCAATATAGAAACATCTACAGTTTGTTTTGTGTGAGGTGTCTATAGTTGCTTTCTACCGTCGAATTGAAAACCCCCTGATTGTGTGACGTCACATAAACATGTTGTTTGATCAGAGACGTGCAAAGCTCGCAAGCACAACAGAAACCTAAATCAGGCATCTGTTGCCACTTGTCAGTAATTGCTCGATCCGGATAAAAAACGACAATATAAGAACAACGTCTTTGAGAACAAAAAAGTCTAATCATTTTAAATAAACACTGTAAATTCCGGTTCAAACTTACAGTTAACACTTTTTTTATTTGCAAGATAGACTTACAGTTAACTTATTGCTATGTAATTCTGCATTCCAGGGAGGTGAACCTGCCTCGATCTGGGCCTCACGCCAAATCAAGCAGTCTTCAGACAACACCGCGCTGTCATCCCTTGCAAGGATGCTGCAAGAAGGCATCCTCTGCGACATCACGATCAACGCCGACGATGGCAGCATCAGGGCGCACCGGGCGATCCTGGCCGCCCGCTCGCCCGTCTTTCGGAGCATGTTCTCGCACGACCTCAGGGAGAAGGAGCTCTCCACGGTGGACATCTCCGACATGTCCCTCGACGCGTGCCGGGGCTTCCTCAACTACATCTACGGCAACCTGCGCAGCGAGGAGTTCCTCGCGCACCGGCTGGCCCTCCTCGGCGCCGCCGACAAGTACGACATCGCCGACCTCAAGGAGGCGTGCGTCGAGAGCCTGCTGGAGGACATCGACGCCCGGAACGTGATCGAACGGCTACAGACGGGCCACCTGTACCGGCTGCAGAGGCTCAAGGACAGCTGCCTCAGGTTCCTGGTCGACTTCAGGAAGGTGTACGAGATGCAGGAGGAGTTCAGCGCGTTCCTTCAGACGGCGGACAGGGACCTGGTGGCTGAGGTGTTTCAGGGCGTTCTTGCGGCGTGGAGCGGCCGGTGAGCGTATGGGGCGCCTCTGCGTCTCTGGGTGGTGGTGGTGGTGTTCCATTGGTGGTGCATTGTTTGCTGGATTCTTGCTGGTGCAGCTTGTAAATAGCGCGTGCAAGCCATTGTTTGTTGGCGATATAGTAAAATTTAACGTGTACACCTCGATTGGATTTTGTTCATATATCATATGGTAATCCAATTCATGTAGATGTAGCGCGTCTTGGTGATCCTGTACACTCACTGTAAGTCTGCAAAATGACAGTTATTTTGTGAAGCCGAATGTGAGCTGCCTCCCTCTTCGTGCTTCTTTGGTTCAGTTGAGACTAACGCGAGTTAGCACGTAAATCTTTTGATGGTAAGTGGTAAGGGTCCAGCATGATGGCATAATAACTCACAACAGAGTTCTGTACCTGATTTGAAGTGTTGTGAAGATTTTTTATTATTTGAAAACAGGTGCTGTGAAGACTTGAATATGTAAGACCTAAATAGCGAACGTACATCAAAGGCCTATTAGCTCAGCTGGTTAGAGCGTCGTGCTAATAACGCGAAGGTCACAGGTTCGAGACCTGTATGGGCCACTATTTTTTTCAAATCATTTCAGGCAATAGGTTACATGAACGAGGCAAAAACTTGTTGGTAAAATGTCTCTTACACATGTATTTTTGTCGACGGCGAGAAAACAGGAGATTAAGACTTACTGATGGTTTGGCGCCTCATGGGAAGCAGCTCTGTTTATGTGTGGGGATCTCGTCGGGCTGACTGTAATTTTTTTTTTTTTTGCGAATAGGGCTGACTGTAATTCTCTTTTACAAATTGGGTTCCTTGCTTATTTTGGGGATTAGACTGTATTTATGTTTTCCTTTGGATCTAGTTTTATGGAGGCATGTACCTTATCATCTTGTGTAATACAAACCTTTGGGATCCTTTTTGCCGATCAGAAGGGTCACACGGCCCCCATTTTCATTACGAAAATGTAGTCACAACATACAAACCAAGTTTCATACAGACTTCAGTTTTTTTCGATGCCTAACATATGCATCATGAAAAAAAAAACTACTCCTACATCTTGAGGCACTTCGACTGCACCTACAGGATGCTACAATGTGTGTGAAACAAGTTGATCATGTATTTAAAAATGTTAATCAATCATTTTAAAAAAATTAATCAAGTATTCGAAAAATGTTAAATGTGTATAGAAAAAATGTTGACTTTGCATTCAAAAAATGTCAAACTTATATAAAAAATGTTAATTAAGCATTTAAAAATGTTAAAATGTGCACAAAAAATGTTGACCATGTATTAAAAAATGTTAATCTTTTATTTAAAAAAAGTTATTCAAGCATTTGAAACTTTTTAAAAATGTCCATTCCAATTTTTTTCCATGCATTAAAAATTCTAACCAAGGATTAAATGTGTATAAAGAAAATTTTTCTCATGTATAATAAATATATACAATGTGTGTGAATTAAGTGCATCATGTATTTAGTAAATATTAATCAAGTATTTGAAAAAAAAGTTAAACAAGTATGCAAAAAATGTTAAACAAGCATTTGAGAAAAATGTTTAACAAGTATGTGAAAAATGTTAAACAAGCATTTGAAAAAAATGTTAAATGTTTACATAAAAAAGGATGACCATGCATTAATAAAATGAAATATTGTATTGGAATTTTTTTAATCAAGAATTTGAAAATATTAAAATGTGTATATAAATTTTTTGACGATGTATTTAATCAATCTTCTATCCGAAAAATTTTAATCAAGCATTTGAAAAATGTTGATAATGTGTATAGATAAAATGTTGACCAATTATTAAAAATGTTAAACTTATATTAGAAAATTGTTAAACATCTATTAGAAACATGTTCTTGACGTAGACGAAAAATGTAGAATGACAAAACCAAAAGAAACAAAGCAAAACGAAAAAAACAATGAAAACTGAAAAAGAAACAAATTAAACCAAAAAAAGAAACCATAGAAGCAAGTTAAAAAAGGAATGGAAAACAGTAAAAACTGATAAATAGCCAAATGAAATAGAAAAAACCCTGTTGAAAACCAAGAAAGAAACAAAGAATCAAAGAGAAAAAGAAGAAAAATAAAAATAACAATGAAAATCGTGAAAGAAACAAAAAATCAAAGAGAAAAGAAACGTAGTATAACAACGAAAAAAAAGAAAACCAAAGATATCCAACAAAGAAATAAGAAAACAAACAAAAACAAAAGGAAGAGAAAAAATATGAACGAACACATCAGAGCGAAGAACGAATGAAACGAGTAACACGCTACTGGGCAGGCCCACACACGTGCACTCTGCACGAAAGATTTAGCGACACCTGTGGATACCCTTGCGGGAGCCCCTCACGGGTCACTTCCGGTGCGCTGAGAGCGCGCCATAGCCGCCGCCACGTGTCGCGTGCTGGGTGCTTCCTCGGGATTTTGCTTGTTTAGTTTTTTGTATGTTTTTTTTTCAGGATTTAGCTGTTTTTTTATTTGTTTTGGCATTTCGGTTTTGCTAGGTTTTCCCTAGGTTTCAGACCCAAGGATTTGATTTTTTATGTGAAAAAACACTTTTCTTTTTCTTACGCGAGAAGCACGGATTTACTTCTCGTGGAGGCATAGGTTTGCTTCAGCGAGAAGCGCAAGAAAAATATGTTTTTTTTGCTTCCGTGAGAGATGTGGATTTACTTCTCATGGAGGCACAGATTTGCTCCTGCGAGAGGCATAGTTTACCTCTTTGAAAAAGGAAAAAACTGAAAAAACATGTTTTCGGCTTGGGTTTTTATATGGTTTTTTTGTGTAACGCCTCGCAGATAGGCGCTACACGCCTGACCAGCGTCGCACCCATGTGATCCGAAAATTACTAAATCAGTGTGCAGCGCCTAGCTTCTAGGCGGTGCACTAGTGGTTGCTTCATTTTATAATGCAACCACTAGTGCAGCGTCTGAGAGCTAGGCGCCACACTATACAGTGCAACGCCTAGCTCGTAGGCTCTGCACAATGACTTAGCAATTTTTAGGCAGTTTGGGGTGCAACGTTGGCCAGGCGTGTAGCGCCTATATGTGAGACGTTGCACAATATAGTGTGACGCCTTCGTGTCGGGTGTCACACAAAAAGGTCAGCCGCGTGAAATAGTTTCACGAGCAATTCATTCTGTGATTTGATTTCGTCAACATGTTAAATTTGTCAAATTTGCCTCGTCGTTGTAGATTGGTTTTCTATTTTATTTTTTTAAAAGTCATCATGGCTAGCTTTATTAATTATAAATAATGTTTACATTGTCCACGAGCTCCTTACGAGGCTCGTCTAACCAATTTAAGATGTAATTATTAGATAAACTAAAATTTGCTAGCACATTACAAGAACGTAAGCAATGTTTAAAGACAACTTTTCCAATTGAAGAGACTATATTCATACACTCCGCAGACACTCCCGCTGCTTTGTCCCACCATCATGTATGACTATACTAGGCCATTTCTCGGGCCAGACCGGGCCTACCAAAACCCGATGCAAAAAACCCAGGCCTGAGCCCAGCCCAACCCGGCCATTGGGCCTAAACATTGGGCCCGAGCCCGATCTATCATGCAAAAAGCCCGTCGGGCCTCGGTCCCTGGCCAGGCCTCTTTGTTAATGCGCGAATACGACGGCCCATGCCATGCCCGGCCAGGCCGCCGGGCTTGAAATCGGCCCGAGCCCGGCCCGTGGACAAGGTCGGGTCGGGCTGCCCATGGCCAGGTCTATGTATGACCAATGCAGAAATTAATAACTTGTAGAGAGTCGGACTCCGCCTCTATCTGATTAAAGCCAAAAGAATTAAGAAATAAAAGACCATCTCTCATTGCCAGAGCTTCAGTAGTGATTGCATTAGTAGCGAAAGGAATACATTTGCGTTGGCAGGCGATGAAATTTCCCCATCCATCTCGAAGAACAACCGAGATCGCCCCCATTGTTGCACACTGGTTGGACTAGTCCGGGTTTTGTGTGTGTGTGTTCTTCTTTTATGATTTTCATCGGCTTTCATGGACTTTTTCTTTTGAATATCTTTCTGTATACCTTCTTTCCGCTTCTCGTCAGATTTGGTTCCTTTGGTTTTTTGGTTTTTGATTTTTGATTTTATTTTTTCCATTTCATTTTAATTTTCCTTTTTCGTATCATTTAGTTTATTTTTCTTCAAATGTATGTTTTGATGTCTACTTTTTCTTACATGTTGTATATTTTTTTATACATAAGTAACATTTTTATCAGCGTAAAATATTTTTCAAACACATGTTAACATTATTTCAAATATTATTTTTATATTTACATTTTTATCATATTGTACAGTTTTTGTATACATGTTAATATATTTTTATATATGTTTAACGTATTCTTCAAATACGTGATTAAAAAGTTTCCAATTATATGTTCTGATGTCTGCTTTTTCATACACATTGTACATTTTTCATATGCACCTGAAACTTTTTTTGATGCATGTTAAAGATTTCAAATACATGATTAACATTTTTTCCAAACACATGTTTTTGAATATTTTTTGAATACGTGTTAAATATTTTTCAAATAAAAGTTGAAACATTTATTTTGATCCAGAAGACAGCCCCCTATTTTAAAATACACTAACATTTTTTACACTGTGTTAATATTTCTAGGCTATTTACACTGGGTTAAATACTACATCCGTCTTGGTTTGTTAACCCCCTCCTATTTTGGGATAAAGTTTATCCAATATTTAGATAATAAAATATAAAGTATATGTCACACAATATATACTATGCAAAAACCCTTTCAAACACAAATTCAGGAATAAACTTTTTGTGTCATATAATTTATATTTTGTTAGTTTATAGCTGCTCAATGACCTAAAATATGTTGTGCCCCAATAAACCAGAACGGAGGTAGTACATGATTAATGTTATTTTCAAATATATATTTTCATGTCTACTTTTTCAAATACATCAAAAATATTTATTCGTAGGCGTTTAACAATTTTCAAACAAATGAATAACATTTTTTCAAATAC